CACACACACAGACACACACACAGACAGACAGACAGACAGACAGAGACAGAGAGAGACACACACACAGACACTCACACACAAAGACACACACTCACACACAGACACACACACAACACACACACACACACACACACACACACACACACAGACAGACAGAGACACACAGTGTAAGGATCCTTGCTGTCTATGGGAGGGTCAGAGAGCTCTCAGAGTTCATCAAAAATATCTTAATTTGTGTTCTGAAGATGAATGAAGGTATTATGGGTTTGGAACAACATGAGGGTGAGTAATTGATGACAGAATTTTCATTTTTGGGTGAACTATCCCTTCAAAACAAGAGATGCATGGATAATGGTTTTATCATTGCACCGCAGCACCTCTGAATCGAGTGGAATCGTGAGGTGCCTAGAGATCGCCAGCCCTCCCCTGACCCACACTCACCCCTGAACTGTCCTTCAGTCACACAGGGGTCCTCCTCTGGCGGCGGAGCGTCCGGAGCACAGCGGCGCAGCGGCTGGCCGTGGATCAGGTACCACAGGAAGGAGTGCACCATGCGCAGACGGGGCATCTTGGGCAGGAAGCCCATGGAGCGGCCGAGTCCTGGAACTGACACAGAACACAGCTGGAGTTACGGAGCGATGGACGAGAGTGTAGTTTAGTCTGCGGCGGTCAGCTCAGCTCCGTACCCAGCACCGGCTTGAAGGACTTCAGCGTTTTGACGCCCATCTGCTCGGACACTTTCTTCAGGCCGCTGCTCTGAGACGCTCGCGACGCTTTACTCTCCTTCCCCTCCGGAGCGCTGGGCTTCGGCTTCTCCGGCTGAGGCTCAGCGCTGACCAGAAACACAGCGAGCACTCAGTCAGTTAATGCTCCTGAAGAGTCTCTCCTGCTCAGCAAGGCTGCTTAATTTCATCAAAAATACTGTAAAATTTCTGAAACATTATTACAATTTAAAACAGCTGTTTTCTGTGTGAATATCTGTTAAACTGTAATTTATTTCTGTGATGCGCAGCTGTATTTTCAGCATCATTACTCCAGTCTTCAGTGTCACATGATCTTCAGAAATCATTCTAATATGCTGTCACTTTTGATCAATTTAATGCATCCTAGATGAATAAAGGTATTAATCTACATTAAGTGGTGTATGTGAGAGTGGGGGATTGTGGGTAATGCTGTCTCTCACCGGGCGGCCGAGGCAGAGCTGGACATGCGCAGGCGGATCTGCTCTATAGCACTTTTGAGCAGCGGGTCATCAGGCGTCACAGACGGGTGAACCACGAACTCCACCTGAGCGTTCATAACACACACGTGTGTATCAGTGCTGTGTGTGCTGTGTGTGTGTGTGTGTGTGAGTGAGTGTGTGTGTGTGAGTGTGTGTGTGTGTGAGTATGATGTCTTGTGTATGTGTGTGTGATGTCTTGTGTGTGTGTATATGTGGTGTGTGTGTGTGTGTGTGTGTGTGTGTATGTGTGTGTGTGTGCGAGCACCTTCTTCTGCACTCCGTCCTGTATGACGATGGTCCTGTAGAGTTTGAGAAGCCCCTCTCGAGACAGCGAGCGGATCAGCCTCACCACGCTCTTCTTACACACTTTGGTGCTGATGCCGTCCTTCTTCTCCTCCTCCGTCAGCAGCTTCTGCAGCCTGACACACACACACACACACGTCTGTTCATCTGCCGTGTCCCCAGCGGTGAGAGCACGCGAGCGAGATTCTTACGTGTAAAAGCCCTCGATGATCTTGCTGCAGCGCACCGCCTCGATGATCATGTTCTTGCGTTTCAGCAGGCGATACGTCTCGTGAACCTCCGCCTTCTTCCACTTCTGCTGAGAAACACACCGTCAGTCTCGCGGAAACAACAAACCTGCTCAGCAAAACTCACACACACACGAGTTATCATCACTATCACTAACATCATCATTATCAAGGTTATGGTTATTGTTAACATTACAGTTATCACAATAGTTATTATTCACATTATAGTTATAGTTATTGTTATAGTTTCTGTTATTGTTACAGTCACTGTCAGTTATCATCTATCTTTATTAACATTATTGTTAACATTACAATCATCGTTAGCGTTCTCACAGACTCACACTGACCTCCGTCAGCACCTCCACAATCACCGGCTGCGTATCCTCCGGCTGCTGTGATTGGCTGGCGCTCGTGCTGGGGGCGGAGTCAGCAGCCTCAGCCTTCTGAGAGGCTTTAGCCCCACCCACTCGCGCCGAGGACTTCTCTGAAGGACACAAGCACGGATCAAAACCAACATCACATCCGTTAAAACGCACACGAGCCGTGATTGGTCACTCACTTTTGGGGGGCGTGGCCTGTTTGCTGAAGCTGAGTTTGGGCTGTTTGAGCTGCTTGGGTATGTGTGTTTTCTGCGGCGCTTTCTTCACTTGCTGCTCAGGGGCCCCGGCGGGGGGCCCCGGCTCCGCTCGGCTCTGGGGCTCGGGTTCGGAGAGGTGTGTGACGCGCAGGTGCTGGCTGCGCTGCCGCTCTTTAGTGAACTGCTGGTTGAGCTGACTCTGCTCCACAAACAGCTTGCTGATGTACTTGGTGGTTCTCTGCCGGCCCTCGTCCTCCATGAAGCCCTGAGATACACGCACACACACACACACACACACACACACACACACACACAGAGACACGCACACACACACACACACACACACACACAAAAACACACACACACACACACACAAAAACACACACAAACACTTTTACTTTCACTTACAAATTAGTGGCAATTTAACGTAAAGCAATTTTTTGTTTTCAGTTCATTTATGTTTTCCGTCTTTTCCTCGCTTTCCTTCGCTTTTAAATAGCTTGCAAAAATGGCATGCGCATTTTCTTTTCACTTTCAAATTAGCGGCAATTCGGCGTAAAAGCGATTGTTCGTTTTTAGTTTGTTTGTGTTTTCCCTCTTTCCCTTGCTTTTAAATAGCTTAAAGCACAGTGCGAATTTTACTTTCACTTTCAAAATAGCGGCGAAGCGAAGCAACAACAAAATACAACGTCCAACTCACTTAACCTACATATAAAATCATAGAACTTTAACACAACAAATAAAAATGTCCAATATAAAATCACAAATATCTTACACAAAGTTTAAAGAGGTACAAAACTGAAAATAAGTAAACACTGTGGAAAATAATAAATAAGAAATGTAGAACGCGTATTAGCAAAACAAGTAAGAAAGCTTGGAGGCATACACGGCATACACCTTGATGTCAAATAAAATAAATAAAGTACACAAAGTTTAAATAAAGTAAAAATCAAACACTGAGGAACCAATTAAATAAGAAACGGATGTCTAAAAAAACTTCCAAAATCACTATAGATGAACGGCAAAAGTCAACAGGTTTTCCAAAATATTGGCAAACAGGTGCTTTTGCATTTGGTTTCTAAACTAACTCATCTGCTATGGTCTTGTCTGTCTCAGCTCCCTCTTCTTGTCCGTCAGCTGGACTCGCTCTCCTCACTAGTGATAAATGCCTGCTTCACGCTGTGGGGAAGTGTGTGAGATCCGCGCGTCTGTTACCTTGATCATGCCGATTCGCTCCAGTAATCTGCAGATCATGCGTCCCTCCAGCTTCCCGAGGTTGAGTCGTCCTCGCAGCGCCGACTGAGAGATCCCTCTGGTCCCGGTCGACACCACTGCAGCAGCCAATCACAGCGCACACATCACACAAAGACACGCCCACTGGTGTCACCGTAGAGCTAGAACCATCTCTCAAACTCTAGAGAACTATAACGATAGCGACAAAACCGCAGCCTGCGCTTACAATAAACACATGGTGGTCCATGGTGTGCACGCTAATACAGTTTCCATTAGCAGTAAAGTCATTACTATAGTTATCATCACGGTTAACAATAATGATAATGGTAACTCTAACAACGCCTATAACGATAACTATAATGTTCATGATATCGATCTTTCATTAACATAGTTATTAGAGTTAATGCTACAATTAAAGTTATCATTATAGTTATTATTAAAGTTCTTGTTACATTTATAATTATAGTTTTCATTATCACTATAACTTAAATTTGTTAATAATATAGTTATCATTATAGATGTTATTGTTAACCGTTATAGTTAACATCATTATAGTCATAAGTATTATCATTAACATGACAGTTATCGTTATAGGTATTATCACTAACATAGTTACTGTTATAGTTATTGTTATAGTTATTGTTAACATTGTTATAGTTATAGGTATTATAGTTAACATTATAGTTATTGTTACAGTTATCACTACTGTTAACATCGGTTACACTTTATTTTAAGGTGTCCTTGTTACAGTGTAATTATATTAGGGCTGTCACGATTCGTCGATTTTATTCGACTATTCGATTTTTACAAATCCTCGACTTCATTTTGCTCGCGTCTTTTGCTTATAATTTTTATATTAGTAGACTAGAACACGTGGACATGTTGCCATTCTTACACTATAATACTGAACTCTGATTTCAGTGATTTGGACTATGAGATGGACACTTGCTGCTTGCATTTTATGTTACACTTTACTTTTGCTTTAAAAAAAGGATTTCATAGAAATTTGGATTTCATTTGGTTTAATAAAATATTCGTAAGTAAAATTGTTGATTTTTTTGTTCGGGAAATTAATCGTTTAGATTCATCGATAAATTAGTCGATAGATTAATCGAAATAAAAATAGTCGTTAGTGGCAGCCTTTTAATTATACAATTAAATACTGAGTAATATTAATTAACTACATGTACTTACTATATGGTTAGGGTCCGGATTAGGGTTTGGTTTAGAGTTACTTGCATGTAATTATGCATAATTTATTGTTATTATAATAGTAAGTACATGTAACTTGTAACAAGGACAACTAAAAATAAAGTGTTACCACAAAAACTTTTTTGGATGCGATTAATCGCGATTAATCAGTTGACAGAACTACATTATAGTTTTCATTAGCTGTCGTTATAGGTATCATTATCTTTATGGTTATCATCATCATTATTATTATAGTTATCGTTAAGGTTATAGCCGTCATTATACTGATCGTTATAGTTATTATCGTTATGGCCTGAAGGCTGCAGTATGCAGCGAGAGAAGCGTGAGTAGCGAGCGATGTCTGACCGATGTCGTAGGCCTGCGTGAGCATGTCTCGCTCGATGATGCGCGGCTCGCTGAGGACGCTCCTCCTGGCGCACACATCTCCGTCTTCATCGTTGTTCTCCTCGTCCTCCTCCTCCTCCACCTCCTTCTGTCCGTACGGTTTCAGCAGCTTCAGACAGCGCACGAACACGTCAGTGCCTAACAACCAATCACACGAGCCCATCAGCTCACAGCGCTGCGCCTGCTCCAATCAGACGAGCTAGACTGCGGTGCGACCTCTGACCTCGAAGCGTTTTGAAGGGGCCTCCGCCGGGGTCGAGCTCCTTCAGAGGAATCCTCACCACGCTCACCATCTTAGCAGCCATCATGTACTGATACACGCGCTTAAAGGTGCGCTCGCTCACACGCTACACACAACAACATGCAACATTACCACATCATCACCATCATCGTCTCATTACCGCTGCAGACATCATCACTGTTAACATTATAGTTATCTGTAAATATGACAGTAACTATAAGATTAAGGATAATACGGTGGTCACCAGCTGCTCCCGGATCTTCATCATGATGCCGGTCTTGTCAGGCAGCTCAGAGAGGAAGTTAGACGTGGACTCCATCAGGATATCATACTTACTCCTCCTGACACACACACACACAGCCGGTCAGTGAGCCGCATCACATCAGCGTAGCATGCGTGTGCGTGTGTGTGTGTGCGCGTGTGAGAGAGTGAGTGTGTGTGTGCGCATGTGAGAGAATGAGTGTGTGTGCGCGCGTGTGAGAGAGTGAGTGTGTGTGCGCGCGTGTGAGAGAGTGAGTGTGAGAGTGAGTGTGTGTGCGCGCGTGTGAGAGAGTGAGTGTGCGCGTGTGAGAGAGTGAGTGTGTGTGCGCGTGTGAGAGAGAGTGAGTGTGTGTGAGAGAGAGAGAGTGAGTGTGTGTGAGAGAGAGAGAGTGAGTGTGTGTGAGAGAGAGAGAGTGAGTGTGTGTGAGAGAGAGAGAGTGAGTGTGTGTGAGAGAGAGAGAGTGAGTGTGTGTGAGAGAGAGAGAGTGAGTGTGTGTGAGAGAGAGAGAGTGAGTGTGTGTGAGAGAGAGAGAGTGAGTGTGTGTGAGAGAGAGAGAGTGAGTGTGTGTGAGAGAGAGAGAGTGAGTGTGTGTGAGAGAGAGAGAGTGAGTGTGTGTGAGAGAGAGAGAGTGAGTGTGTGTGAGAGAGAGAGAGTGAGTGTGTGTGAGAGAGAGAGAGTGAGTGTGTGTGAGAGAGAGAGAGTGAGTGTGTGTGAGAGAGAGAGAGTGAGTGTGTGTGAGAGAGAGAGAGTGAGTGTGTGTGAGAGAGAGAGAGTGAGTGTGTGTGAGAGAGAGAGAGTGAGTGTGTGTGAGAGAGAGAGAGTGAGTGTGTGTGAGAGAGAGAGAGTGAGTGTGTGTGAGAGAGAGAGAGTGAGTGTGTGTGAGAGAGAGAGAGTGAGTGTGTGTGAGAGAGAGAGAGTGAGTGTGTGTGAGAGAGAGAGAGTGAGTGTGTGTGAGAGAGAGAGAGTGAGTGTGTGTGAGAGAGAGAGAGTGAGTGTGTGTGAGAGAGAGAGAGTGAGTGTGTGTGAGAGAGAGAGAGTGAGTGTGTGTGAGAGAGAGAGAGTGAGTGTGTGTGAGAGAGAGAGAGTGAGTGTGTGTGAGAGAGAGAGAGTGAGTGTGTGTGAGAGAGAGAGAGTGAGTGTGTGTGAGAGAGAGAGAGTGAGTGTGTGTGAGAGAGAGAGAGTGAGTGTGTGTGAGAGAGAGAGAGTGAGTGTGTGTGAGAGAGAGAGAGTGAGTGTGTGTGAGAGAGAGAGAGTGAGTGTGTGTGAGAGAGAGAGAGTGAGTGTGTGTGAGAGAGAGAGAGTGTGAGTGTGTGTGAGAGAGTGTGTGTGTGTGAGAGTGTGTGAGTGTGTGTGTGTGTGTGTGCGTGTGTGCGTGCGTGAGTGTGTGTTCACCTGTCTACGTGGAAGCGCTTGAGCAGCAGCAGCAGGGAGTGTTGTTGTGCTCCAGACGGCAGGCGAGCCACGTGTGACTGCAGCGTGATCAGCCCATTCCTGTCCAGAGTCCTCCTCAGGTAATGCATCTTCCCCGCATCCATTCTGACCAATCACACAATGGGTCGAGTTAGGGGATAGAAAAAATCATTAACCTGATAGAAAACCACTGAAAGTCTATGCAATGTCCTCAATAAGATAGCAAAACAAACATGTGTGTGTGTCACCTGAAGATGCGTGAGTGAGTGTGTGTGTATAGTGTGAGTGAGAGTGTGTATAGTGTGTCACCTGAAGATGCGAGTGTGCAGGTCTCTCTGCAGCTCCCCCTGCCAGCGAGCGCGGCCCAGTCTCTCCAGGATGCAGTAGCACGGGTCGGGCAGCTTGAGCTCGGGGTCTCCCTCGGCTCCGATCAGAGCTCTATAGCGCCGCTCCTGAGACGCCACCAGCACCAGCCGCTCGCCCCACCTGCAGGACACAGAGACGACAGCGCAGGGGGCTGCGATCATATCGTCTGACATTATATTGTAATGCTTGTTTTAACGATGTGTGATTTGATTGACATTGTTGAGTATTTCGCAAAAACCGTTCAAAACAGCCCTACAGAGTGCACACATTACGTCAAGTCCAGACTAGTGCGCATTTAGAGCGTGTTCTGTCACTGCATGATTCAGTCTAACACATTCAGAATGATCACAAAATTCAAGACATGGGGGCAGAAAATGTATATATTTATTCCACTTCATATAGTTAATCAATTACACATGAAGAGTGCTGTTTTTATCTCCAAAAATTACCATAATTACAAATGTGATATAGATTTTTTACAACATTTCAATAAACAAAAAGTTAAATAAGAGACTTACGTTTTAGACGCCATATTGCCTGTTTTTGCTGTACAGCTACAGCGCCGTTTTGCGTCTCTGAGCAACATAACGCTGTTTTGTTTCTGAATGAATCAAGCGTTTAAATGATTCGGTTCAATTGCAATGACTCACTTGTTAACAGTGACTTGCTGCCACCTATTGGCGGTTTTAATTTCACATTTAAAGTATCTTTTATTATTCAAATAATTTCAAATATCAGTATTTAACTTTTTATGTTTAAAATATCAAAACATTATTTATGCATGTGTAACTGCAGGTTAAATGCATTCATGTCCTGCACTAAACAGTGTGTAAACCAGGGTTCCTCAATAGGCGGCCCGCGGCCACATCCGGCCCGTGAGAGAAAAAAGTCCGGCCCGCGCTAGTTTCAAATAATGTGGCATGAAAATTCAAACGCAGCATCAGAAAGCTACATTAACTTACATCGTTTCTACACCGGACGCGAGCGGTGCAATAAAATACAAGAACTGGTTATAATCAGTGATGCTGTCTTGCGGCGCGACACGACAAATCCCCGACAGTAAACCGCTGACTCCTTCTGTTTATAACGTACTGACACAACGTTCAAATGATCTGCAATGCTTTGTCCAGTGTAGATACGACGTGACCGCAAAAACATGCCGAGTGTGTAGAAAAGAAAAGTGGACACGAAAAATAGATGATTCAGATGTGAATGGACTGAACAGTTTTGAGTGAGTGATATCTTTGTTATAATATAATATATATATAATAAAACTAATTGAGGAACCCTGGTGTAAATGCATCTAAACGCCTCTTCAGATGCAGCTTCTGTGTTTCCTCTGCATTACAAAGATACATTTTACTGATACTGATTTAATTTGCTCGGTAACAGCCCAAATGTCTTATTCTAATTGACTGATCAAATGTAAGAATTTGGTAAAAAGGTAAAAATGCCCATAAAATGTAAAAATCAGTTTATACTTATTGGGAAAGATGAATTTCTCTCAGTGTGAGCAGACCACCGCACAGAATGTCACACACTTCAGGAGTCAGCACACACGGTGTGATGGGTCTGATGTGATGTGCTGTGTGAGTATGGCTCAGCCCTGGCTCTCACCGGCTCTGCACCTGCTCCAGAGTCAGCTCAGCGCTCCGGGTCTGCTCGCTCACATCCACACGCTCTCTGAAGAGCAGACAGGAGCCCTGGACCCCGGCCGCACCCGTCACCACGCTCACCGGGTACACCTCCAGCGGCTCGGCCTCTCGCAGCTCTCGCAGCTCCTGGATCCCCGTGTCCCGGTCCACCTCCACAAACCTCCACACACAACAACATACACTTAACAACTTCTAAAAACATCTATTGTATTTACAGCTCCTGGATCCCCGTGTCCCGGTCCACCTCCACAAACCTCCACACACACAACAACATACACTTAACAACTTCTAAAAACATCTATTGTATTTCATATTTTTTATTTTTTTTGTAAATAATATTAATTAATAATATGATGATGTTTACAGTAATTACAACTTAATTTACATCATAATTGTGTTGCTATTTACTATTTTTGGGGGTCAATATGACCTGCGAACAACATAATTATTAATAATACTAATTATATTAATGCTAGATGGTACACACAATTGTTCTTCATCTTCAAAACAGCTCTGAACTAGGAAATGTGCTTAGTTTCTATTTCAGACATCTGTTTACTTCAGCACTACAGCTGCAGAACTTCTCCTCAGTATTTACAGTGTTACTGCAGCGATCACTCGGTGTGTACTGTAGGTGATGGTCAGAGTGTGTACTGCAGTAAAGAGCGGTACCGGTCGTGTAGAGTCACGGCTCTCCGGTTCTCCGGCAGCAGGTAGAAGCGGATCTCCGCGGTTCGGATCAAGCAGCTCCAGATGAACTGCTGACTGAGCGGGTCCAGATTCAGACCGAACTCGGGCTGTCGACTCCGCAGCCGCAGCCAGAGGGTCTGAATGCTGATGCCGTCCAAACCCTCCAGCGCCACCTCGTCCAGAACCGCGTCCAGCGGGTCCATCATCATCATCATCATCATTACTGTCGCCGAACTCAGCGCGCTGCGCCGCCGCTTCCGCTGCTGTGAGTGAGCGCCGGAGCACTGCCGCCTGCCGAGCGCCGCCGGTACTGCAGCACTTCACACACACACCGCCGCTGTCTGTTATTAACAATCAACATCACGTGACGAGCGATCATCAGGAACAGAACACTCCACTGACTTCAGGAAGAAAACTGACGGTGTTTCGCTACTGCTTCTGTTACTACTTACAATTAACTTTATCATGTATTTTGCATTATTAAAAAAAAATTCTCAATACGCTTTACAAAAAAAAAAAAAAACCAGTTCAAATTATAAAATAAAATATAAACACATCAAAACATTGTAATTTATAATTATTGAGATACCAGTTTTTGTTCCGGCAGCATGCGCAGGATCACACGCGACTTCCTCTTCTTCGTCTGATAGAGGTCTGACAGAATGTGATGGACTAGCTGCTCTGGGTCTGAGAGAGAGAGAGAGAGAGTGAGACAGAGAGAGACAGAGAGAGAGAGTGAGAGAGAGAGAGAGGGAGGTTATGATCTGAATCTGAGGTGTTCTGTTGGAGCTCATGATCTGATTCTCTCACCGACTCCATGAGTGCGAATGAACACAACATTATGAGCTCCGCTGTCCACCGCACTAAACCTCTGCTGATGCGTCTTCATAGACGACTGTATCTGAGACACTTCCTTCTTCAGAGCCGCCTCTGCATCTTCATCCTCCTCCTCCTCCTCACTGAGACTGTCCTGTGGGTCTGCAGGCTGTGACACAGACAGTAACATCTCTATATTGATACTCTATAGCAGGGGTTCTCAAAGTCTACATTCAAAGGTCCAAATCTGAATTTTCATCAGTGGCAAAGGTCCGGACCGGAACAATTAGTTATTACAAAACTTGTCTTTATTAAACATACATAACAAATAAACATTATTTTTTTGAAAAAATAAAGTGCAAAAGTGTCAAAACAATTAATTTAAATGGATAGTTCACCCAAAAATGAAAATGTGATGTTTATCTGCTTACCCCCAGGGCATCCCAGATGTAGGTGACTTTGTTTCTTCAGTAGAACACAAACTGAGATTTTTAACTCAAACCGTTGCAGTCTGTCAGTCATATAATGAAAGTGAATGGGAATCACGGCTTTGAGAGTCAAAAAAACATACACAAACTAAACCCTGCGGCTCGTGACAATCGTTTTTTACCTCTGATTCACTGCAATGTCGTAACTGTCCTGAGTGTGTTCTCAACAGCCGGGGCGTGACGCGTCTTGGACCATTGACACTCCTAATTGAGATTGTAGATAGAGTGTCAATGGTCCATTTGAGAAATAGGTGGTGGTAATGCACTTACAAGTCTGCGATCCGCCGTAAAGCAAGAAGAAGAAGACGACG